GTTTTAATTTGTCATTTGCCAAGGTGTCTTCCGTGGAGGAACTGGAAGCATGATTAAATGCTATAGATGTAGTAGTTACAAGTTATGAATTTTCAATTATTTAATTACTTTTGTAACTATATATTTTACTTTGTTTCGAAATGCCTGAAATTAAATCTTGATATTTTTTTCTATTCTTTTATTTGATTTGTATTTATATATTGTCACAGTGAAGTTCATGAGCAAGCATTATACACCTGTGATGCTATACACCACGAAAGAAGAATATTGTTGAAGCAGGAGATTGGAAGGATGGTTCTCTTCTTTACTGACCAACCAAGTTTGTTGGCTCCTAATATTCAGGTGTGCATGTTTATGAATATATGCATGTGTCTCAAGCTAATTTTCCATATATTGTAGGTGTGTTCTTAGATGTTTCATTATAAAAAGCCATTATGAAATCTTGGTATTTTTTGTTGTAGACAAGAGTAGATTGCTAAAATGATTAAGGCAATTGATGAACCTTGGATGTGTAGTTATCAAAATATTTAGTCTACCCCAAACTTCAATTAAGAACAGCATGCAACTGCGCAATGTTCTCTTAGATGCTAATTTCTACTTTGGTAACTGCATCATTTGCCTGTGGAGCTATGGTACACATAATAATTAAAGGTTGTTGGTTTTGTGCAGATGGTGTTTTCTGCCTTAGCCTTTGCACAGAGTGAAGTACTATGGTATTTCCAGCATGTTGGGATAGCGACTTCTAAATCCAAAACTGCTCGAGTTGTGGCAGTAGAAACTGTAAGAATGCTACTCCAGTTATATACTTATATATATATATATACTGTGGTATTTTTCTTTGGTAAATGTCTTATCTGTTGAGGTCTGTTAGATGATGTCCACAATTAGGTTTTTTTATTTATTATTTTTTATTTTGATTAACTATTCTGCAGTGAACCACATTTTGTCTGCATGATTGCAGGATCCAAATGATCCAACTATTGGGTTCTTATTGGATGGAATGGACCGTCTTTGCTGTCTTGTCCGCAAGTATATTGCAGGTTAGGTTCCCTACACAATGCTAATTCATGTACCACGTTCATAATTTGTGGCTTTTTGGACCCTATTATCAGATTTGCATGGGATTGTAAGTTATAATACCTAATTTAAAATTTGTGTGCATCTTGTGTCTTGCTCATTTTTTCATTATGTCCAGTATAACTAACATAGGCATGGACTACATACAGTGTCACTTTCGGGAGTCCATGCTGACTCTGTTTGATCTTTGTTGGGTTATTCAATTGGCACTGATGAATTATTTAATTTATTTCAGCCATCAGAGGCTATGCCTTGTCATATCTATCGTCCTGTGCTGGTAGAATCCGCTTTCTGCTGGGTACCCCTGGGATGGTGGCTCTCGACCTAGATTCTACATTGAAGGGACTTTTCCAAAGGATGGTTCAGCATCTTGAAAATATACCAAAACTTCAGGGTGAAAATATTTCGGCTATCACCTGTGATTTATCTGTAAGATGTTCATGAAGTCAGTTTATATCTTCGTTATCAAACCCCGACTGCTTAGCCTTATTTTTATGTTAAGCTAGACTGAACTAGACATAGTTTTCACATAACCAAGAAAAACCCCCTAAAAGAAAGAGAGAAGGAAATGGGTTATTATTGTTTTCACATGACCAAGAAAACCCACCTAAAAGCTAGACTGCACTAGACATAGTTTTCACATTTTTGCTCATTATCATAGTCAATCTAATATATGAAAACATCCGGCTAATGAAAAGGGACTTTATTGCATTTTATGGATATAACTTAATTGTACTGCATCTTTGTTTTCCTGCTTTTGAAAGATTCTTTCCGAACCGACGTGATCAGCATGACTTGATGGATCCTGAATAAGTATGGTTCTGAATTGGCTCTCAACTTAGTGATTGATCAATGAATATGATATGAAAGAAATTTGGGCTGGTTTTGGTTGAGAATAGCCATTGCTTGTTTGTTCAGGCTCCAAAATATTTTTTAGATATAGACAGAGAGATAATTGATCTAGAAGTTATTTTATTTGGTTTTTCCATCCTACTATTTCCATTACATTATTTGCAGGTTTAACTTGTTCCATAATTTGGTCGTAAATCTGTCTCTGAACTTGATTATTTTAATTTGCTGCCCCATGTATCAACCAGCAAATCGTTTTAAAGTTTTTTGTTTATCTGAACTGTTTATAGAATCTCTTGTGGTTATTCAAGTTCCTAAAATCCTTTTCCCCTCAGGAATTACGCAAGGATTGGCTATCCATATTGATGATTGTGACTTCTGCTCGTTCATCTATTAATATTAGACATTTGGAGAAAGCTACGGTATCTACAGGTAAAGAGGGCTTATTATCTGAAGGGAATGCGGCACACAATTGGTCCAGGTAAATAATAAATGCATGCCAGAGTATTATTTTTCTAAGTTACCCACGAGGTTGCTGGACACATATTGGTTCAAATGCAGATGTGTTGATGAGCTTGAAACTCAATTATCGAAGTATGGGAGTCTGAAGAAACTTTACTTCTATCATCAACATCTTACAACTGTGAGTTAATGTCAGTTTATGCTTTTTTCAAAAGAAAAAAAAAAAAAGAAAAAAAACACGGTATCATTAATTTGACTCCAACGGTTCTTCAGGTTTTCCGTAACACCATGTTTGGTCCTGAGGGTCGTCCGCAACATTGTTGTGCCTGGCTTGGTGTTGCTAGCAGCTTTCCAGAATGTGCATCACCTATTGTTCCAGAAGAGGTAGTCATGAACTAACTTTAATCATGCAATTATTCACATTGGCTCTCAAACCATTGACAATGATAATTTTATAATTTTCTCTTCATGAACATCAGAACATCCTTCATGCCCCTAACTCTAAACTCTTTTAAATTCAGGTGACGAAAATTGGCCGAGATGCAGTTCTATATGTTGAATCTCTTATTGAATCCATCATGGGTGGACTGGAAGGTTTAATAAATATTCTCGACTCAGAAGGAGGATTTGGCTCATTGGAGATGCAGGTTTCTTTATTTTCTGAATCCATTTGAGATACTTGTAAAGTTTGACATATTCTTACTGTATTGAATGGTATTGAAATTTTCAGCTTAACCCTGAACAAGCGGCGAATCTTATGAACTTAACATCCAGAGTATCTGTCCCTTCAATAAAATCTCCAAGAGCTCCGTACAATATTCATTTGCCGGGTTATGAGAGCTATCCAGAAAATAACAGTTCTATCAAAATGTTCGTCAGCTTTAAATTTTCAAAATATTCCATTTTTCAACTCTTCCGGGACAGTTTTTTCTTGAATTATCTGTTTTGGTGGACAGGTTAGAAGCTGCAATGCAGAGATTAACAAATCTTTGTTCAGTCTTGAATGACATGGAACCTATATGTGTTCTAAACCATGTATTTGTTCTTCGAGAGGTAATTTTACATTTCATTTTAAGACACACTGAACCATAGAGCATCTCCAATGATCTTTGAATTGCTCTATTTTGTTGCCACATGGCACAAACAAGTCTGTGGCATAGAAAATGTCTAGAAAGATGTAGAAGTCCTTCTAAACAACTTCTATTATATATATCATATTATTTATTTAACTTATCTCTCTTCTCCAACCAATTGTAATTTTACACATTTCAAATTATACCACAATTAAAACGAACCATTGGAGACAATTTCTTAATTTTCTTTTTCCATTGGAGATGCTCATAGTCTTCAAAGCTGGACGGCTCAAAGAAAACTCGAGCTATCCTCTTAAAAAAAAATTGAAACTTTTACACACTATCATGCAGTACATGCGAGAATGTATCCTCGGCAACTTCAAGCGTCGACTCCTCACTGTGCTGAAAACCGATTCCGATCTCCAGAGGCCTTCCATCCTCGAATCTCTCATCCGCAGGCACACCTCAATAGTCCACCTGGCAGAGCAACACGTCAGCATGGACCTCACCCAAGGCATCCGTGAGATCCTCCTCGCCGAGACCTACTCTGGCCCCGTCTCATCTCTCCAGCTGTTCGAAAAATCCCCCGAGCAGCAGCAAACCGGTTCGGCAACTGAGGCCGTTTGCAACTGGTACATCGACAACATTGTTAAAGACATCTCAAATGCAGGCATTCTCTTCGCCCCTCTCCACAGGTGCTTTAAAAGCACGAGGCCCGTCGGTGGCTATTTTGCCGAGTCAGTCACTGATCTCCGTGAGCTAAAAGCGTTTGTCCGCACGTTCGGAAGCTATGGAGTCGACAGGCTGGACAGGATGCTGAAGGAGCACACGGCCGCACTCCTCAACTGCATAGACACGACTTTGCGCGCGAATCGAGAAAATCTCGAGGCGGTGGCTGCAAGCATGCACGCTGGGGATCGGGTGGAAACGGAAGTAAATATAAAGCAGATTGTTGACATGGACACGATGGTGAGGTTCTGTATCCAGGCTGGCCAGGGGGTAGCCTTTGGTGCCCTGCTGGCGGAAGCTTCCGGAGGTGTGCTTAAGGAAGGTGCGCCTCTGATATATTCGCTTCTAGCGGGAGTGGCGGGGAATCTGCCGGACGAGATACCCGAGAGGAGGGAGGTGAGGAGAATGAGGAGGGTGGCGAGTATAGTGAATGGTGTCGGGTATCGTGATTTCGAGTGGATTAGGTCGATTTTGGATGAGGTAGGGGGAGCGAACGACGGGTCGTGGAGCTTGCTGCCGTATTTGTTCGCCACTTTTATGACGTCGTCCGTGTGGAACACAACTGCGTTTAATGTTGAGACGGGAGGCTTCAGCAATAACGTGCATTGTTTGGCCAGGTACTTACTTGTGAGTCTTTATTTCACTGTGTAGAGAGAATCTAACTGGTTATGATGCAACTTTTGGTGAGTTAAAGTGAGTTATTTTGAATGAAGTAGATTGAGTGGATGATTCTGAATTTGGAATGAAGTAATATTAAAATGTAATGATTAAAGTTGGTACGATGTAAACGCAGGAAATAGATTATAATAAAGTAGATTGAGTGGATGATTCTGAATTTGGAATGAAGTAATATTAAAATGTAATGATTAAAGTTAGTGCGATGTAAACGCAGGAGATAGATTATAATAAAGTAGATTGAGTGGATGATTTTGAATTTGAAATTGAATAATATTTAAAATGTAATGATTAGAGTTGATGTGGTGTAAAAGTAGGAGATAGTTATAGGAAGTGATAAGTAATTAAAATTATGTGAGTTGATGAATAGGTAATTAAAGTTGATGTGATGTGTAAGAATGATTGATTGATATTATTTAATTGTATTTATAAGAAGTATGAGAGTTGGGTTGAATTGGATTTTGAGTTAGGTGATGGATATGAAATGATTGAACCGGTTATAATCGGTTAAGTTTGATCTCCATGTAATCGGGCTTTGTGAATGTAATCGGGCTAATTATTGAACCCGTCGGGTAATCTCCATGTGCTTAATTTTGGTTTTGATTATGAAGTTTTATGAAGCAATTTTTCTTTGTCAGGTGCATATGTGCTGTGATAGCAGGAAGTGAATTTGTCAGACTTGAAAGAGAATATCGGCAGCAGCAGCAGAGAGAATCTCATTCAAATGGTCACATGGGTGAGTCATTGGATCTCGAGACGCAGAGCTATACGTCGATAGAGGCAAGCATAAAGTCCACAATGCAGCTTTTCATCAAGTTCTCCGCCGGAATTATTCTCGAGTCTTGGAATGAAAGCAATAGGTAAAGTTGAAATAATCCTAAATTGTCATATATATGAACTCGTTTGACACTCGCACAATCTAATTTGACCTGCTGCGTATTCTTGCAATCTAATTTATTAATAAAATCATTATTTCATCAAACTTTCGCATGTTCCAGCACGTGTAAATCATTTAGTAATAATCGACCTATGTAATTTCGTTTTTCCTTCATTTTGCAATCCGATAGGTCCCACCTCGTGGCAAAGCTGATCTTCCTCGATCAAGTGTGCGACATCTCACCGTACTTACCGCGAAGCTCCTTAGAATCCCACATACCTTATGCCATCCTACGATCTGTATACACCCAATACTACTCCAACTCGTCAACTCCGCTCGCACTATTGAATCTTTCGCCACGTCATTCTCCCGCCATGTCACTCGCGCACGCTTCACCCTCGATGAGGCATCATCATCCACGTGCTGACTCGACCCCACAGTTGCAAACCAATGACTCGGGCTATTTCAAGCCCTCGTCTGCTCACGGGCCAGACCACTATGAGGCCGATGGTTTTGGGCCGAAAAGCAATTATGATGCCAGAAACAGAAATGGCAGGCGGTCGGGCCCATTGGGCTACAGCTTAAGCAACAAGTCGAAGTTTGTGGAGGGGTCCACGTCGGGCAGCACGGGCCCAAGCCCGTTGCCGAGATTCGCCGTGTCGAGGTCAGGCCCGTTATTGTACAAATAGTTATATCTGAGACTTGTGAGTTTGGAGTATGTGTTGGGTACTTTGTCTAGTTGAACCAGTAGTGTTTATCATTCTCTTTGCAGTGATATATCTAATAATTATGTAGCTCCTTATGCAACAATATAGATAAAGCTTTCACTATTTTTTTTGGCACTGGTTCTTGTTTTTTTCTTTTTAATAATTTTATTTGTTTTCTAATCTTTGATGAATTGTCACCTTTAAAATTTGACGGGTAGAATTTGTAAGAGATGGTTAGATTTGTACCTGATCAGTGTAATATTTTTGTTACTATTTTTTCCTTTTATTTTTAATATTTTTTCCTTGGGTCTTTTAGTGTAAAGGGGGGAGGTTGTGCATGTCTAAAGAAACGTAATTTACGTTAGTTCTAAGTTCTAACGTGTCATTTTTGTTTTTATTTTTATTTGATATGACTAAACAAAACAACATAGATGGATTGATTATGATCAATTATATTTTAAAAAATAATATAAATCAAAATATAATATTATACAATCTATCGTATGCATTTTCTTTTTAAAAAAAATTATGGTTGCCTACCCTAATGCTAATATTTGTGTTCCCATAAGTCTTTTCCTGTGGGTGTTTTTTGTTGCACAGCCTAACTCGTATCCTTCTCAACTTTGTTTCTCTAAATCATACATCAGTTTTCAGTTCTCTCTTAAGTTCACAATGAAAAGTTAATATTTATTTATTTTAAATAAATTATATATCCTTTGGACTAATAACATAACTGAATGAACTCGACGTTCTTCGAAACAGCCTCAGACAAAAATGGAAACTTCAACTTTTATAGACTGATTACAATTAAATGGAATGAAATTAGTCATCACATTCACTACACAGTGTTGGTAAACACCACTTTTTCATGGACCATTAGTGAATTATACTAATTCATAAAACATTTTGTTGTCTTCCATCGAATTTTCGGAGGGTTCTATTGAAAGAGATCGAATTTTTTCTGTTTAGATCAACATATACATATCCTGATATCTATACCAAATATTTGTTGGCAACAAAAACAATAAAAAACACCGATGAGTACAAGTAGAAACGAGTTCTCATTTTCAATAAAATTATACGTGGAACAAAATATCAGGCGAGTAATCGCATGAAACAGAGAAGAAAAAGTCGCGTCGGCTAGTAGACGCTTTTAGTTTAAAAATTAGTTAACACACACGTCTCGTCTTCTCCGCGTAGCTAACAAAGACCAAACACAAGCGGCGCACTCCGTCAAAACACCACCGTCAGCCTCGCCGTCTTCACTCTCTCTCTTCTCCATCACCAACCTTCATCGGATCTGCTCAATCGCATCTCTTCATTCAATCCATCTTTCAATAATTCAGCTCCAGCAATAAATTCCTCCTACTGTAACCATGGATCTGGCGGCGGAAGAGCTTCAATTCCTGAGCATGGCCGACATCCTCAAGGAGTCGATTTCAATCCCCAAACAATCCCCCAAGACCTTCTACCTCATAACCCTAACCCTAATTTTCCCCCTTTCCTTCGCCATCTTGGCTCACTCGCTCTTCACCCACCCGATCCTCGCCCAGCTCCAGTCCGACGCCGCCGCCGCCTCCTCCGCCATCTGGTCCAAGCTCCTGATCTTCCAGTTCTGCTACCTCATCTTCCTCTTCGCCTTCTCTCTCCTCTCCACCGCCGCCGTCGTCTTCACCGTCGCCTCGCTCTACACCGCCAAGCCCGTCTCCTTCTCGTCCACCATAGCCGCCATCCCCAGCGTGTTTCGCCGTCTGTTCATCACCTTCATATGGGTCTCGTTGCTGATGGTGGTCTACAACGTCGTCTTCCTCGGGTTCCTCGTCCTCTTCATCATAGCCGTGGACTTGCAGAGTGTTTCCCTGTTTATATTCTCTGCCGTGGTCATTTTCATTCTTTTTCTGGGCGTGCACGTCTATATAAGCGCTTTGTGGCATCTCGCGAGTGTGGTGTCTGTTCTTGAGCCCATTTACGGGTTTGCTGCTATGAAGAAGAGCTATGAGCTGTTGAAAGGGAAGGCTCGAGTGGGATTCTCGCTAGTGTTCGTTTACTTGGCTGCTTGTGGAGTGATCAATGGACTCTTCGGGTCGATTGTGGTGCATGGAGGGGATGATTATGGGGTTTTCGCAAGGATTGTGGTTGGTGGATTTCTTGTTGGTGTATTGGTGATTGTGAATCTGATTGGGCTTTTGGTGCAGAGCGTGTTTTACTATGTCTGCAAAAGCTATCATCATCAGAATATCGATAAGAGTGCGCTTTACGATCATCTGGGCGGGTACCTTGGGGAATACGTGCCTCTTAAGAGCAGCATTCAGATGGAAAACTTGGATGCATGATACCACGCAAAAATGTTCTATGGTTGGTAAGTTTTCTTACTTTGAGGGAAAGATGTAAATTGGGGAACATTAATACTGTGAGGGGATGCTTCTCTTTTCGTTGTTATGGAAACTGGGTTTGTCCTTAAATCTTATTTCTTGCTGTTGTTATTGTGCTTGTTGCTATTTATGTTCTTTGATGCCGAATGATCCCTTGCTTTATGTTATATAATCTGTTTGTGCACGGATTGATGGATTTTGTTAACTATTGTGTAGCGTAGGGAAGTATGATATTTCTGTATCTTGGCAGTGATTCAGATTCTCCCTTTTGTTAGTGTTTGGCTAAAGTCTTGAGCTTATAGCGTCTTCACTTAGTCTGCTGTTTGGAGCACTAGTTTTTTCTTAAGTTTCATCTACTTTGAATTTGAGAAAATGTTTAGAACAACTATTGGTAGAAAAAGGACATGAATGATCATGCATTGTGGTGTAAGTTACTTGCAGAGAGGATAGGGTTTGATGACTGTATGTTTACGTGCATTATTTCCTTTTTTTTTAGGTGGCAATCCATTGTGTTAGCTAAATGGTGAATTAGCCCTACATAGATATTGATAAGATACAC